GGGTGGCGTTTGCCTATTAGACAGCTACTGTGAATAATAGACAAATTAAGCAAAATGGAAACATTTTATTTTTAGAGTGAGCCAAAACAACTAGTAGCGTTAATGCTCTGTATCACAAACACACACAATAAGAAATATTGATTCAAAACTATTTGCTTTTTTTCAATACTCAAATTCAACAAATATGCTGAGCTGAAAGGAAGCGGATTAAAACAGTGTATATATAGACTCTTCTACCCAAATTTAGTATAATTTTTATGAATGTATTATATAATTAAATAGACCCTAAAATATAATCCTCAAAACACCTCATTTTTTTGATTAGAAGATTGAACTGAATTACATATAGAATTCCATCAAAGTAAACTGCTATGACACAAAAAAGCAGAATTTTTTAACCTTTTTAAAAAAATAGAAACAGCCCCTCTGAGATAATGGACTTACTCCCCCCAGGAAGCCATAGAAGACTATACCAGCTGTTTTGTTGTCCTATAGGGTTGTTTACAAGGAACTTCAACTAATCATCTGTCGAAGCCCTGCATAAGACTTTCACTGAGTGCTGGGTCCTTTTGGGGGGGGTGAAAAAAGCCCCTGGAACGCACCCAGGGTGGGAGAGAAGGGATGTTGCAATAGCATGATGTTGACTTTCTTTCTGTCTGGCCATTTGACTAAGAACGGGCTTCGGTGTCATTTATACCCCAGTGTTTTCCGACCCGAAAGCGTGGATGGAACACGCCCCCTCAAAGATCCACTCCAGAACCACAGAGGATAATTTGGTAGGGGTCTCCTTGTGAGCCAGAGGAAGCCCTACCTCTGTCAGCCCGCCCCCCACCATGTGTGCAAAGGTGGTGCGGCGCGGCACGCCCAACAGGGGGCTACAGAGACAGCTTCCTCATGTGACAACCCCAACGCGCAGCTCCACTTCCGGGTCCAAGCCCTGACCCTGGGGGATGGAGAGCAAGAGTAGATCCGGCAGCCACTTCCCTGCCTGGACCGTGGCGTTCTCGTGTCCCCTGTCTGCTTTACAAGCAAGCTGCCATGGCTCCCTCTGCCCCAGCAGCGATAGCTAACATTCTGCCCACCAGGTGGGCAGGCTGCCTCTTCCTCCATGGAAGAAAGAGCGGGTGCTTTGTTAATTGTTGGCGCAGTGGGTTTCCCCGTGTGGCAGCTGGAGCCCTAGTTGTGCCCTGGCTCGCAAGGACCTCCAGAGCTAATAAGGATGTTCCCTTCAGAGAGGGTCTTCTCAGAGGGAGGTTTTAGGCCTTTGCTTGGTCTGGTTAGTCCTCTCCCTCCCTCTTTCCAGGCCCAGCTGAGACGTGCTGGAATGCCATCTAGTGAGTTCCAGCTGAAAGAAGCGTTGTGTGTATAAATTGCACACCCGATACTTAGGCCCCGGTAGTGGAGAATGCTCCAAGTGTGGTAGCCAGAAAACTATGTGCATGGTTTTCTAACTAAAAAGTCTTAGCCTCTGCTGGACCTATAGCTTAAAGTGCTGTGTTGCTGTGGGAGCTCCGTTTTGCTCTCTGCTGCACTAGGCTTTTGCCTTTTGCCTTTGGCTCTAGCAAGCCTCATTTGATGTAAGTCTTAAGAACTCCCGCCTGGATTGACAACTTCCAGGCAGGCCAGAAGTATTTAGATCGCCCAATGCCCAAGCCATCTGTATTCAATAAAGTTGTGACCTGTTTTTACCCAAACCCCAGTCTGATTGGTCTCTTATTTATATGGGTTGGGGTATGGGAAGTCTGATGCCTTGTCCTGCAAGTAGTGTCTCAGTTTACATTTAATCTGGCAAAGGCAGATTAGGGGGTTTGCTTTAAAATATGGACATATTTCTTCTCCAACCCTACTCACGGCTACTGCAGTGTTTTAAACAACCTCATGTCCTTCAGGTACACAAGTACCAGGTCCAAAGCTGTTCTTTCCTTCGTGGGAGAAAGAGTACCTGTTTTCCGGTGAAAACAGACCCATAGAACTGGCCTAAAACAGAGCCTAGTGATGTGGGAAGCCACTCTCATGCAATTTGGATACATGTGAAACAGGTCTACAGCTTTTACTTTATTTTATGCTTTGATAATTGATAACTCCGTGTTCCCTGGGCTTACTAGTGAAGCAAGCTGCCAACCATTTTAAGCAGCATGCACTTCTGGGAGCTTAATAGCGTTTAGACGTCAGGATCTTTGTAAATTGCTTTAGTTGTACCATGTTATTTGCAATGGCTGAGGCTCTGATTTTTATCCTCCTCTTCCCTCCCCACTCCAGAACAAGACCAAAAGTGCAGTACAATGGTTATGCTGGACATGAAAACAGCAATGGACAAGCGTCATTTGAAAATCCTATGTATGATACAAACTTAAAACCCACAGAGGCAAAAGCTGTGAGGTTTGACACAACTCTGAACACAGTTTGTACAGTGGTATAGCCTTCAGTGCCCAGTGTGACTGATTCATAGCCATACCTCTGATGGACAAGCAGTAATTCCTTTGGTGCCATATACCAGTTTCCCTTCTCTAGGCTTCGCTGCTGTAATCTTTTAACATCTACCGGCATAGACGCAGCAAGGCTTTCTGGTGAAACGTCAAGTCTTCTGGGGAATCAAGACCAAGATAATTTCTTCATCTCAAAGGTGGATTTGAAATACCTGGCTGCATTTGCTCCAAAATCAAGGCACACTTTGAAGGAAGACTGCCAAGTCATATCCATCTGTCATATTTAAATGCCTCAGACTTTCACATTTGTAAGTGGCTGGATGCCTTTCAATGCAATCTTCTGGGCACTCGGATCACTCCGTTGGGAACTGTGACAAAAAATAGCACCATAAATTATCCCCAGAAATAAGAACATTCAGGAGGAGATTTAAACAACAACAACAAAAAGAAGCTTTCTTGAAGGAGAAGACAAGACAACCTTCCTCGGGGCTGCACACATCTACAAAATGCTTTACCATTGAAATCTTGTCAACTGTTAGAACAACCCTACAGTATATCTCAGATATTCATACATAAGGCAGTCTACAAACTTCCCAGTCAGCTGTTGTATTGCAAAATGTTAATGCACAATTTTTTGCACTAGTGTGTATGAATGACTGAGTATGATACTGGTTAAAAACAAAAACAAAATATACAGGGTTTATACACACTATCCATTGTATATAAGCATTTACTCATCTTTTTTTGTGTGTCCTGTGACGCATTCCATAATAATTTTACCCAGCACGTATGTTATACAATGACTCCTTCCCCTATTCCTGGCAGAGTGACTTGTGACTATGAAGAGACTATATTTTGGTTCATTTTCCATGTAAACTCCAGTACAACCCAGCCAGATTTGGGGGTGGTGGGGGTGGGAAGCCCGTGTTTACAAATCTTCATTCCCAGCCTTGTTTCTGTTTTCTCTCTCCATTCATTCTTTTTTTCCTCAGCATCATACTCTGTAACAGCAGGGGAGTCAGGCAGCTACTGCTGCTTGTCATGTACAAAATGTGAATAGTAATTTATTTTAGATAGTTCATAAAGCCTGTGGGCCCGTGCTCACAATACAGTCTTCCCTTTTGCATTTGTTTGCCATCTTTCTTTTGAGAAGCTAGCGGCAACCCTTGCTACAGTAACTTTGAGGAGTTTTTCCAGGTACATCTCAAACTTGCTCTGTCAAGCTGTGTGATTACAAAAGCATCAAGCAGTATTGGTTAAAAATGTAGCCAACAAAGACATTCACACTCACACACATACAGACACCCCATTGGAAAGCGTAGTGGTTGCAGTGGCGGCTTGCGTGTTGGATGTGGCTTGAGTTTCACATACTCCTTGCAATGCATTTGTAAGTTCTATGTAACATTAGAAAACAATGTAGTTCCACGTGGAAAAGAAAGATGGCAAACAAATGCAAAAGGGAAGACTGTATTGTGAGCACGGGCCCACAGGCTTTATGAACTATCTAAAATAAATTACTATTCACATTTTGTACATGACAAGCAGCAGTAGCTGCCTGACTCCCCTGCTGTTACAGAGTATGATGCTGAGGAAAAAAAGAATGAATGGAGAGAGAAAACAGAAACAAGGCTGGGAATGAAGATTTGTAAACATGGGCTTCCCACCCCCACCACCCCCAAATCTGGCTGGGTTGTACTGGAGTTTACATGGAAAATGAACCAAAATATAGTCTCTTCATAGTCACAAGTCACTCTGCCAGGAATAGGGAAGGAGTCATTGTATAACATACGTGCTGGGTAAAATTATTATGGAATGCGTCACAGGACACACAAAAAAGATGAGTAAATGCTTATATACAATGGATAGTGTGTATAAACCCTGTATTTTTGTTTTGTTTTTAACCAGTATCATACTCAGTCATTCATACCACACTAGTGCAAAAAATTGTGCATTAACATTTTGCAATACAACAGCTGACTGGGAAGTTTGTAGACTGCCTTATGTATGAATATCTGAGATATACTGTAGGGTTGTTCTAACAGTTGACAAGATTTCAATGGTAAAGCATTTTGTAGATGTGTGCAGCCCCCGAGGAAGGTTGTCTTGTCTTCTCCTTCAAGAAAGCTTCTTTTTGTTGTTGTTGTTTAAATCTCCTCCTGAATGTTCTTATTTCTGGGGATAATTTATGGTGCTATTTTTTGTCACAGTTCCCAACGGAGTGATCCGAGTGCCCAGAAGATTGCATTGAAAGGCATCCAGCCACTTACAAATGTGAAAGTCTGAGGCATTTAAATATGACAGATGGATATGACTTGGCAGTCTTCCTTCAAAGTGTGCCTTGATTTTGGAGCAAATGCAGCCAGGTATTTCAAATCCACCTTTGAGATGAAGAAATTATCTTGGTCTTGATTCCCCAGAAGACTTGACGTTTCACCAGAAAGCCTTGCTGCGTCTATGCCGGTAGATGTTAAAAGATTACAGCAGCGAAGCCTAGAGAAGGGAAACTGGTATATGGCACCAAAGGAATTACTGCTTGTCCATCAGAGGTATGGCTATGAATCAGTCAACTGGGCACTGAAGGCTATACCACTGTACAAACTGTGTTCAGAGTTGTGTCAAACCTCACAGCTTTTGCCTCTGTGGGTTTTAAGTTTGTATCATACATAGGATTTTCAAATGACGCTTGTCCATTGCTGTTTTCATGTCCAGCATAACCATTGTACTGGCACTTTTGGTCTTGTTCTTGGAGTGGGGAGGGAAGAGGAGGATAAAATCAGAGCCTCAGCCATTGCAATAAACATGGTACAACTAAGCAATTTTACAAAGATCCTGACGTCTAAACGCTATTAAGCTCCCAGAAGTGCATGCTGCTTAAAATGGTTGGCAGCTTGCTTCACTAGTAAGCCCAGGGAACACGGAGTTATCATTATCAAAGCATAAAATAAAGTAAAAGCTGTAGACCTGTTTCACATGTATCCAAATTGCATGAGAGTGGCTTCCCACATCACTAGGCTCTGTTTTAGGCGCAGTTCTATGGGTCTGTTTTCACCGGGAAAACAGGTACTCTTTCTCCCACGAAGGAAAGACAGCTTTGGACCTGGTACTTGTGTACCTGAAGGACATGAGGTTGTTTAAAACACTGCCAGTAGCCGTGAGTAGGGGTTGGAGAAGAAAATATGTCCTATTTTAAAGGCAAACCCCTAAATCTGCCTTTGCCAGATTAAATGTAAACTGAGACACTACTTGCAGGAACAAGGCATCAGACTTCCATACCCCAACCCATATAAATAAGAGACCAATCAGACTGGGGTTTGGGTAAAAACAGGGTCACAACTTTATTGAATACAGATGGCTTCGGGCATTTGGGGCGATCTAAATACTTCTGGCTGCCCTGGAAGTTGTCAATCCAGGCGGGGAGTTCTTAAGACTTACATCAAATGAGGCTTGCTAGAGCCAAAGGCAAAAGGCAAAAGCCTAGTGCAGCAGAGAGCAAAACGGAGCTCCACAGCAACACAGCAAACTTTGGTCCTGATCCTACAAAGAAGCAGGAAAACCCGGCACAGGAACAAACAGGCTGTGCCCCAGGTGTGGGTGCTTCAATGGGCAGGGAGCGGAGTCCGAGGGAAGCCCATTGTTGATTCCATTGGCTCTGCCCTGGTCTTGCCGCACGTTAGCCTGCATCCCCATTTGCCAATGCAGGGTGTAGGGTATCATAGCTCCTGATAGCCGGTGGGGGCATAGGCCCCTGCCGCCTATCAAGAAGGGCACTGCCATTTGAATTCCACCGTTGGGGGCCCTGTGAAGCCTCTTCTGTCCAGCAACGCCGACACACCAAGAGAGGTGAGCAGACTAGTCAAATCACCTTACACACTTCAAATTATGCAAGACAGTTTTGGCTGCATAATCTGTTTAGATTGTATTTTTTTTTCATCTGTTCTGTTGAATTTCTTAAGATATTGCTTTAATATCATAATATTTAGATATTAACTGTTTTGATACTTTTATCTAATTGTAGTTTTATTGTTTCTATCTTTTTATTATCTGCAGTTGCTATACTCTTTACTGGACAGTGGCATAGGAGTAATCTGAAGATGGAATGGAAGACCAGGGGATTGCTTCCTTCGTACAGACTCGCTAGTGGCATAAGGTAGCACTATAGGGAACTAACTACCATGTCTCAACCGGTGTGTGTAAGAGAGAGAAGGGGGGAGGGGGAGAGGAAGAGACAGGGACCAAAGAGAAACAAGATGAAGCATGTACAGTAGATCCTCGGGTTACGGTACTTTCAAGTAATGTAAACTTTGGGTTGCGAAAGCAGCAAACCTGGAATTATTTTTCTGGGTTTCGCCGCTCGCACATGTGCAGAAGCGCTCTGCGCGCATGTGCTCTATCAGGCCATGTGCGTGCGCAGAAGCAGTGCCTCTGGATACAGATTTTTCAGGGTGCGCACGGACCCCCAGAATGAATTAAATTTGTATCCAGAGGGTCCACTGTAATTTGGCATTCTCCACTATTACAAAGGTGCAATAGGTAGTTTTTTTCTCTTGGAAAGTGTTGTCACCAACTTCACAATTTATGTATCTTGTTTCTTGTGAAGAAAACATGCAAAAACCATGGCAGGGAAAAGATGAAAGCTCATTATCACTTAATTCATAACATTTCCTACTAGTAATACAGGAGTGAAAAAAATCTATTCCTTTTACTGCAGTCTGCTATTCAGTCTGCTAAACTGTAGGGCAAAAATACCTTCATTTCTCTGCTAGATTTAATCATTAATCCCAACTTTAAGTGAAATAAACACTTCAAGCAATGTAGTAGTAGATGCTGCCAAAAGTGGAATGGAACAGATGGGAATTGCTTCCTGGTAGGTTCTGAATGTTTTTTTTCGAGTTCTTAAAAGCCTGCTTAATGGCAAGAAATGCCTTCAAATCATTTCCCCTTTTGGTCATTTTAAAAAATTGGTTTCAATAGCCAAAAATAGCTGCAATGTTTCTGAATTTTAGCAGCAGGGTTTACTGTCATTCCTTTCATTAATATAATGAAAATAATTTCAAAGTTTCTTGAGACTGTAGTGGGCTGACTGGGGGAAATGGGTTGCAATCCTGTGGTCAGAACTGCAATCAAATAGTTCTAGAGTGGCCATGGGGGCAGATGAAGACATGGAGCTCTGCACAAGAAGAGGATTCCCTGTTTATTTGAGCAACTGCCCAGGGCCAAGATTCAGACTGGCAGGAGTGACTGCTCCATTCATACTTTGCTTTTCAGTTTCTCCATTCCAGGAGCAGCTCCTCACAATTCTCCCAAAGCCCCTTCCCATCAGGTGGCACCTGACAAGGTGTAAGGGACTGAAACTGGAAGGTTTGCCCCTGCCCCCTAGTAGTTCTAGAACTCTTGGGTAGTTCTAGAATTCTTGGGTAGTTCTAGAACTCATCCCATTAGGGCCATAAACTATACATTTCCTTTTAGAGGGGATTAGGAAAGCCCTCCTTGTATGAAGCTGTGTGTACATAGTATTTTACCACAGTCTCGCGCTTCAGTAACTGCTCCACATGACTGCTGCGGTCAATCTATAAATCTTTAGTAAGAACATGTTTTAATCTGTTATACAGTGGTACCTCAGGTTTAGAACTTAATTCGTTCTGGAGGTCCATTCTTAACCTGAAATTGTTCTTAAACTGAGGTACCACTTTAGCTAATGGGGCCTCCCGCTGCCGCCGCATGATTTCTTTTCTCATCTTGAAGCAAAGTTCTTAACCCGAGGTACTATTTCTGGGTTAGCCCAGTCTGTAACCTGAAGTGTCTGTAACCCAAGGTACCACTGTATTCATAGGTGTTTTTTTAAAAAAAAATCATTTCAGATGCCCAGATATGTACTGAAAAAACTTGATCATGAAGAGGTATGTAAAGTTTTTTGTTTTTTTTAAATGCCCTACTGTAGTTGGGCAAAATTGAAAAATATTGTTCTGAATTCCTATTAAAGCTATGTAGGCAACACCCTGTTTACAAGCTTTCAGTAATTGTATACACACTGTGTATGTCACAGAAAGGGACAGAATTCACAGGCTTTTTCAATAATATTTCATATATATGCAATTTCACTGATGCACGTGGTGTCTCAGAACGTAACCCCCATGTAAATGGGGGGTGGCGTTTGCCCATATTAGACAGTACTGTGAATAATAGACAAATGTAAGCAAAATGGAAACATTTTATTTTTAGAGGTGAGCCAAAACAAACTAGTAGCTGTTTAATGCTCTGTATCAGACAACACACAACAATAGAGAAATATTTGATTTCAAAACTATTTGCTTTTGTTCAATTACTCAAATTTCAACAAAACGTATGCTGAGCTGAAAGGAAGGGATTAAAACAGTAGTGATATATAAGACTCTTCTACCCTAAATTTAGTATTAATTTTTTATGAATGTAATTATATAATTAAATAGAACCTAAAATATAATTCCTCAAAAAACACTCATTTTATTTGAAGTTAGAAGATTGAACTGAATTAATATAGATATTCCATCAAAGTAAATGCTATGACAAAAAAAGAGAATTTTTTTAACCTTTTTTTAAAAAAAATAGAAACAGCCCCTCTGAGATAAATGGAACTTACTCCCCCCAGGTAAGCCTATAGAAGACTATATCCTAGCTGTGTTTGTGTTGTCCTATAGGGTTGTTTACCAAGGAAAGGATTCAACTAATTCATTCTGTCAGAGAAAGCCCTGCATAAGGACTTTCATGAGTGCAATGGGTCCTTTTGGGGGGGGGGTGAAGAAAGCCCCTGGAACAGCACCCAGGGGTGGGGAGAGAAGGGATGTTGCAATAGCATGATGTTGACTTTCTTTCTGTCTGGCCATTTGACTAAGAAGGGCTGGTGTCATTTATACCCAGTGTTTTTTCCAGACCGAAAGGTGATGGAACACGCCTCCCTCAAAAGATCCACTCCAGAACCCACAGAGGATATATTTGGGGTAGGGGGTCTCCTTGTGAGCCAGAGGAAGCCTACCTCTGTCAGCCTGCCCTCCCCACCCATGTGTGCAAAGGTGGTGGCGGCGGCGGCAGCCCAACAGGGGGGCTACAGAGACAGCTTCCTCATGTGACAACCCAACGCTGCAGCTCCACTTCCGGGTCAAGCCTGACCTGGGGATGGAGAGCAAGAGTAGAGTCGGCAGCAGCTTCCCTGCCTGGACCGTGGCGTTTTCGTGTCCCCTGTGCTGCTTTACAAGGCAAGCTGCAGCAGGCTCCCTCTGCCCCAGGCAGCGATAGCATACATTCTGCCACCAGGTGGGCAGGCTGCCTCTTCCTCATGGAAGAAAGAAGCGGGTGGCTTTGTTAAATTGTTGGCGCAGTGGTGGTGGGTTCCCGTGTGGCAGCTGGGAGGCCCTGTTGTGTCCCTGGCTCGCAAGGAGACCATCTCTAGAGCTAATAGAGGATGTTCCCTTCAGAGAGGGTCTTCTCAAGAGCTGGAGGTTTAGTAGGCCTTTGCTGAGTCTGGTTAAGTCTCTCCCCTCATTTCCAGGGCCCAGCTGAGACGTGCTGGAATGCCATTCTAGTGAGTTCCAGCTGAAAAGAAGCGTTGTGTGTATAAATTTGCACACCCGATACTTAAGGCCCCAGAGGTTGTGGAGAATGCAGGTGTGGCTAGCAGAAACTAAATGTGCATGGTTTTTCTAAGCTAAAAAGTCTTAGCCTCTGAGCTGGGACTATAGCTTAAAGTGTAGTAAAGTGCTGTAGCAGTCAGCCCTGGTTCCTGGATGAGGATGGTCAGGTTAGCAACCTACACAGATATCGCCCAGCCCAACCTGTAGCTCACCAGATTAGACTTGGGCAAATCTGTCCATTTTGGTTTTTCTCTGTTTCTAATTTTTCCAATCATAAGTGCAGCTCTCCACATCATTTTGCATTTTTTTTTTTAAAAAAAAATCCTCATGAAAATCTACATTTGCATGTAAATTTCCCCTCATATATGCATTTTTCAATGCACATATATTTTTCATATTATTTATTGAATATATATACTGCCCTACACCCCGGAGGTCTCAGGGTGGTTCACAGAATAATATATTATTCTCACTAATATATGGATTTTTATCCACACTTAGCCAAATATATGCAGTTTGTACCCATTACTTGGCTTGAGAACTGCATACATACTCAAAAAAGCATGGCTGTGTTTGCGTATTGTTTCAAAAATGCAAAATAGGTAGGCTACTCCAGATGCTGTTGGACTCCAACTCCCATCAGCCCAACCTGAACAATGGTCAGAGATTATTGGGTGTGTAGTCCACCAATCGGAGGGCCACAGTTTAGCCATTTCTGTTGTAGGCTAACCTTAATGTTTTTCATTTTGTTTTTCCATGAAAGAAAAGTCTTAAACACACGCCCATGTGTTTGTTTGTATCTGCAACCAATTTTCATTAGGAGCTACCAAAATGTTACTTGTTGTCTTGCTGCTTGGGCTATCAAATTGCACCTTGTAAAATTTGAGCAGTTAATCTTTGTTAAAGCTTTCTCTTCTCTCTACTCTCAACAGGCAGAAGTTTCTGCACTTAATTAAATATGTCACAAGAGATTAGATCCAGCATACCTGTGTTTGTAGAGGTAAAATGCAAACCCTGATAATATTAGAGCAAAGAACGGTACCAGGATTGCAGCTGCAACAGAACTGCTGTTTGTACCATAGAAGTGATTGGGATGATCTGCGCCCGCACTTAAAGGACCTGAAAAGAAAATGAAGGGAAGGGAAAGAAAATAATCTTTTTAAGGGATGCAAGTATAAGCATATAAATCCAGCAGAAGTATGGCTAGCAAAACAAGCACATTTTTAAAAAGTACTTGTATGAATGCAATGTATTTTCTAAATTCAATAAACATGTATAAAATGTCTAGATAAATAAGTGCTGAGCTATATAATCCTATATGAATGCACACAGCTGCTTTCCTCAGACCATTGGGTTCTCATGCTTCCAACAGGAAGATTCTAACATCACACACACCCCTATGTAAATTATGTCATCATCATCACCTCCATCTCCTGGCAAAGGTTGAAAAAAGGATTCAGAATATTCAGATTTAATCTCATCCACAAATGGTAACAATATCCCTTAATAGCCTTGGAAAATGCAAGCTGGCTATTTCCTTACAGTTTGAAGATACATGCAGAATCCAGGACTACCAAAGTCATTTAAACACAGAACATATTAAAGACTAAGTTGTAAAAGTCATTTAAAGCACTGCTATAATCATCATTCTGCATTGATGGTCTTCATAGAAGCATCCTGCAGTTATCTTATTAGGTTGCTGTTGCATCAAAAATGAAGTGGCAGCATGAAATAGTTGAATTAGAGATTTAATGGCACATTTAAACTAATTGAGAAGATGTGGTAGTAATTGAATACAATAAATATGCTTTTATTTACTTCAATGGTTGGCACAGTGATTTGAGGTTATCAGTATTCAATAATAGACTATATGACACTATATAGGGCTATAGCAGCATTCTTACTTTGTCTTTGGAGCATAAATCTTCCAAAATCTTTTCCGTGTATGTCACCTTGATATGTGAAGACACCTCTGTCGAGTCCCCGATGACACCTAGATCAAAAGAAACCATTAAAATCAAGAGTGGACAATGGAACCAACTTTTGTGTTTGTTTGCATTTCATGATTACTGATAACACCAATGAAACAAAATCATCAGAATAGTTAAAACAGCCATTTATAATAACACACAAATCCTGGTTTTCATTTGAACAAAGAGACTCATAAAACTATACATCATGATAAAGACCCTTTTGCATTTGTAGCGTTTGTTAGATTACAAATTCTGAAATATTTGAAAGGAATGCTGCAGTTACCATGGAAGAGATGAGGAACACCTAGGCCAGAGCCTTCCAAATTTTTCATGTTGATGACACACTTTTTAGACCTGCATCATTTCGTGACACAGTATTTCAGTTTTACTAGTAGACTGGAGGTTAAACTAACCACTTTCCAGTTCCGGGAGGAGCACGGGGAGCATTCATGCAACACACACACACACACACACACACACACACACTGCAGCTGGCACACTAATGTGTTGCAACACACAGTTTGGAAAGCTCTTGTCTAGGCCATGGGGTCAGATGCAACTCTTAGAGGTGTCCCACCTGCTCCCCAAGACACGCTTTCTTTAGCCATCTTCCATCCTCCTTGATTTTTGTCCTGGTTGTAGGGGCAGAAAACAGCAAATGACAAGTGCTAGGGGCTTGGGTTTGTATTGCCTTGGGCTGGAGCCATAGATTATGAGGAGCTCCCTCTAAGGGGTCTTGAGTAAGACCTCCAGCCCCAGCATGGGACCTGGCTGGCTAGATGCCACACTCTCAGGTTACCACTTGTCTGGCCTGTGCCAAAGTGGAAATCTCACACTGGCAACTCCAGTTCATTTATTATTTATTGCATTTGTGGTATTTTTGTCCTGCTGTTCCCTCCCAAAGGAACCCAGGGCAGAAAACAACAAGTGGTGAAACAATAAAAACATCTTTAAAACAATGCCAAAACAGAGGCAGGCTAGGAAAGATCTCAGTTTAAAGGCAGGTCTTGAAGACAATGGAGTTGCCACCTGTCTAATATTATGGTGAGGGTATTCCAAAGGGTAGGCACTACAATGCTAAAGGCACAATTCTTACATTGTGCGGTATGGATCTCCCATGCAGAACGCAGTGATTGACTGTGCATTTAAGGGGCGAGATGATCATTCAGGTATCCTAGTCTCAAGCTCCGTAGGACTTTATACATCAAAACCAATGCCTTGAATTTCACCTGGTATCTAATTGGCAGCCGTTGAATCAGGACCCTGGTGTGAGGAGGATAGAGACAATTTAATCTACGGCCAGTGGCTGCAGTCCAAATTTGGAATGTGTCCCCCTCAGCTGCAGTTTACATTGTCAAAAGAGGCTCTATTTAGAAGAATGTACATATACGCTCAGACATGCATGTATAGTTTTGCTGAAATGCTGATTTCGGAAAATTGTATGAAGTGATAGGTCACAAGAGTGGCATGTCAAGAAACTCTTCTCTACCCATTACCACTCGCTTCCTCTTGGTATCATGGTTTTTGGTGCTGGATCCTTACACAAACAAAGGAAAAGGAGGAGCAACATGTCTTGCCTAGCAATGACTCTCTGTATCAAAAAGGAAGACAGAGAGGAGACAGGCACAATGATGAAGCTGTCTTCTCATTTTGCACCCTACTTTCACACATCACTTTGTGCAGAGAAAAAGCGTCCCTCTTCCTTCTCTCATATACATATCTGGTTAGCAACCTGGGCTCCCGAAATGTTTACAGTGACTGGGAAAGCACACTTTGGTTACTGGTTCAACTCAAAACACAACATTTCTTAATCAGGAAGAACAACGGATACATTGTTAATACACTCTAGGAAATTGCAGTTCTGCAATTTCATAGCTTTCCTTCCAACAATAATCTTCAGTGAAGATTATGATTACTTTTGAAAAACGAGAAACTTCCACCTTCATAAGTAAGGAAACCATGTAATGAAATTAATATTCTGTTCCAGTATTTTAAAATATCCCAAAGTCCATGAGAAAGTTGGCCCAGCAAAATCTTCCATCTTAGCTGTTCTGTGTCTCATTCTTTGGGAACAAGGCAATGTTAAATGCAACAAAGCAGATGTGTGCAAAAAATACTTCTCTTAAGGAGTCAAGGGAGTAGTGATGGGTTTTATACATTTCAAAATGCATACCACCACAAATGTAAAAATATACGAGAGAGAAGAGATATTTTACTAGGTGGGAACAACATTTGAGTCACATAAACGTACTTACATAGCCATCTAAGGCCCACTTGCCATTTTCAAACTTGCTTGCAGAACCCTCTCTAGGATTTTTAATTTGATAGACTTTCAAAAGCAAATGGGCTTCCTCTTTCTTGTAAACACCTGCAAAGAAAATTATATAAAGTGCATTTTAAAACATGTTCACCCTGTATTTTTAGACTGAATCTTTTCTGTAAATGACTTAAAATATTTAGCTAGCTTAAACTTCATTTACATAAAAAAACTGTATGTAATTAGATATTACTGCATTTAAATAAATGGTGTAATGTATTCCTACAAACCAGCTTTTAAAACAATGGTTCACAATGGTTCACCTTTGAACCAGTTTTAAAAGTTGTACTCAGATTATCATATATTAGCACCATCAACTGAGATATGAACAAGCATTTTGGCTTAGCATGCAGCCCCTTCACGTGAGCAATGAAAAGGCAGGAAACCCTCCATTAATGACAGTTTTTCCTCTCTCCCTTTAAACACGCACCTGTTGCAAACAAAGCAGTATGGCCACTCCAAAGCTTTCGTAGACACAAATGGTATTTAACATGTCATCATGTATAACTTCCCTGTTAGCATATTGAGGACAAATAATGATAGACAATATGGGACCCTCCAGACCTCAGTTGATAACTAATGTACAGTGGTACCTCGCAAGACGAATGCCCTTGCAAGATGGAAAAACTCGCTAGACGAAAGGGTTTTTTGCTTTTTGAGCTGCTTCGCAAGACGATTTTCCCTATGGGCTTGCTTCGCAAGACGGAAACGTCTTGCAAGTTTGTTTCCTTTTTCTTAACACCGTTAATACAGTTGCGACTTGACTTCGAGGAGCAACTCATAGAACGCGGTGTGGTAGCCTTTTTTGAGGTTTTTAAAGACTTTGGTATTTTTGAAGCTTTTCCAAAACTTTCCTGACACCATGCTTCGCAAGACGAAAAAAATCGCAAGACGGCAAAACTCGCGGAACGAATTAATTTCGTCTTGCGAGGCACCACTGTAAGTTCAATGTGTGCATTAACTTGCAAATGTGCACAGAGCTTTTAAGAGTCTGTTTGATATTTTTTTTTTAAATGTTTCAATTGCTAGATCTGATCATAAAACCATGCCATGGAAAAGACTATGTTTTGAATTAGAAGTAACTATGGGATAGATTGTGTTTATTGAAATAATTTATGGGAGTAAGATATATAGAGGTTTATTTTTACAAAGCACTGGCATGGAAAAACACTTAGCAAAATGGCAGAAACTTTGCATGTAAAGAAATATTATTATATTTACATCAGCAGCAAAATGTCAATGTCCCCTAACTGCCAGGTATCAAAGGGGACGTGTGGTGACTACAGGATGTGATTTCTTCTACAGGTTAATAGAGGTAGCAAACAATAATAATTTTAATCTAAACCTATTTCATTCATCAGATTCAGCTGCAAGCAACCAAATCATTTCCAAGTGTTGTGTCATAATATAAGGCTTTCTAGTAGTATAAATAGATCTCTTCTTCTACCTTACGCATGCTACATGTAAATCGAAACAGGTAGGAACATGTCTCCAAAACCTTGATTGCAGCTTCAAAATGGGATTTCAAACCTCACCTGATAGCTTGAGCTGTGTGCTAGATGCTTCAATGAATGTAGCATTCACTTTACTGCTTGTAGCATTGAACCAGTCAACGGTTAGAGTTGCAGGTTGTCTTTTCCCTTGATGCTCATAAAAACCTTTCCACAATGAATTTATAAAAAATACATCTGAAGGAACTGGAGAAAAGACGAACAAAGAAGTAAATCACTACAACAAAATGCAAGCAGATGTGTGTCTCTACTTCTTTGAGTATTCATTATTTAGTTCACTATTAGAGGGTCCACACATTGTTTCAAAACCTTTGTTGTATTGAAATATTTATAATATCAATGATAATAGAGTATATGAACTTATGGTGAATCTTTATGCATAGTGACATCTTCCTGCTGCAGTTGAAGTCCAAAGCAAATTGCTTTGGATCTCTTACTTCTGCTTCTCCAGAAATACATGAGAAAACATATCCTCTTTATTACCAATGGATTTAGGATGATACGTTGGAATAATAATGAAATGATCAGTTGGTTGTAATGCAAGTTGTACTACTAAGAGAAACACTCCTTACTGTCCTTTAGAACAAATTCAGGCAGTTTGAGTGTACTCTTGATGGAAGTTATACATGCCTAAGTGTCTCATTGACTTCAGTTAGATGAACGCATGAAAAATTAGGCAGAGATTTGCAGCCATAACTTCTATATTGCTTTCTCAGTCCCCCACCCCCCAATTCCCATATTTTTTGTGAAGATGTAAGTTACATAGACCTCCATTCTGCATGTTCAAATACTGACAATTGTCATGTGTGTCATTATGCCCATTTCGTTCATTTTCTAGTACAGCAGAATTTACACTCTTAAGAAAATACCATACATCCTATGTCAATGACATAGTAGTTTGTAATAGACTTGTCATGCAAAACTCTCCCTGTGTGACACAGAAGGTAGATTAAGAGGCGCACAACCATTTCGGCTGCACTGGCTGCAGAGCCTCAAGGGGCACCCCAAAATATGACATAGAATGGGAGGGCGAGCGTTAGTGAGGTGCCAAGTTTTGGTGTCGCACAGGGCGCCTCTGAAATTTGAGACTGCAAGGTCTGCCACTATTGGATTTCACACTGTAAGTGCATGGAAGTGATCCACCCCAAACTTCATCTCATGGAGGTGATGGAAGGATATT